ATCCCATTTTAGTGACCATAGCTGGCTGGGTGTGATCTTCACAAATCCCATTTTAGTGACCATAGCTGGCTGGGTGTGATCTTCACAAATCCCATTTTAGTGACCATAGTTGGCTGGGTGTGATCTTCACCATCTCAGACTTGGGTAGCACTACGCACATTCCTGGTGCCAGGTTGCACAGCTGGGTAGGAGGAAGTCCCTTCCCTGATCCCAATGGGCTGGGTAGAATTGGGAAAGGAGGGAGAATAAGGTCATTAGCAACTGTTTGGAGTGGAGATAGAAGCAAAACATTGTTCTTCTTCAACGATTTTGACTTCCCCTTCTTTTCGGGGGATCTGGTAGAGGAAGGCAATCTCTGAGGAACGCTAACTCAGTGTTGTCCAAACTTGGCTGGGGAATTCTGGGAGTTGAAGTCCACTCATCTTAAAGTGGCTAAGTTTGGACAACACTGCTCTAACTGTATGAGTGACCACCATCCAAACCTTGAGAGCATCCAGGTGCTGCAGAACATCAGACAAATATTGGAGGTAGGGTTCATTTGACTCAGAAAAGTTGAGCAATGTTACGAGGAGCTGAGACTGTTTTTGTCAAACTTGCAATATTTCTCAGCAAGGTTTTGAAAATCCCTAGCCGAGCCATGCCAACCTCAGCCCTAAGATTTTGTAATTGGCTCAGTGAACCAAGGCAAAACCAGTTTAAGTTAAAAGGCAGGCTTGTCATTCAGATGGCGGAGTGGGGGAAGCAAGAAGGAAAAAGAAAGAGAGAAGAAGCAGGTTGAGGAAAATGGAAGGGGAGAGAAGCACAGAGGGCCCATAATATTGGAAGCGACGTCAGCTTCAACAGCAAACTGTTTAAGGCAATATTCCCAATATACAGGGCTACAAACCCCCCACCATCCTTACCATGCATGACCACAGGATCTCTCTCCCAGAAAAAAGTCAGAAGATATCGGCTATACCGACCCAGCTTTATTGTCTTGCCAATTGCAGCATCTGACTTCTCCAAACACTAGCTTTGTGGGAGTAGGAGAGTGTTTGAAGGTATTTTGTATACAGAATAAAGGATAAATAGGGGAATAGGCCTTGGAGGATAAAGGAGCCTGGAAGGGAAATTCCCCATTGTAGTCTGGGCTGGTCTGAGGCCCTGGCAGGACACCAAGGGCCACAATGGAATCTGTGTAGAAAATGCTCTTCTTACAACCAGATCTTGCTATTATTCCACAGCAGGATGTTTACCACATGACCTACCAAGGTGGTTGGGCTGAGATGTCTGTGCAGATGTTCCTCATAGGTGATGGCATAGATGTCTGAGTCCCCTGACCAGCGAGAATTGTCCCATGAAGAGTCACTTGGCTCAACCTTCCTCCCATTGGGGAACTGAAACCACATTGAAAGAAAGCAGTATTTATGTGATAAGTATCAGCCACATCAGCAGCAAGTCACTCTGCACCTAGAAAACTACAGTCAGGAAGAAGGTTGGGTTGACTCGTTACCTGTGGTTTTCTGTCTATTTCCACCACACAACTGTTAGTGCAAGAGTGATGAGTGTGTTATGGGAACACTCAACACTTTAGTTTTTTGCCCCAGATACTCTGATTGTGTACTGCTAGAACCACCAGTAAGGAAACTTGAGTCAATTAGTAACTAACTAGTAACTAGCTAGTAACATTGTGGGAATGGGGCTTTTATGTACAAGAAGTCCCTTCTCTCTCCTTCATGGGCAAATATTCATCTACAACCTCTGTGCTTGGAGAGTCAATTCCACTTGACTTGCTTTGATCAACAACCGCTTCTGCCTAGAAGACCGAGTAGTTATAAACGGGCATTTCCCAGTGAGTTTCACAGAGCAATAATCTGCCATTTTTCAGATTGCCCCCACTCTCTCATTATAGTTCCATCACTTTTGGTCTCACCTGGCGTGACAGGTAGTATTGCTGATTCTCTGGTGGTGTTGGTGGAACTTTCTTGTTTTCTACAAGGGGTAAGGCAGACAAGACATCGCTGTGACTTTGTATTGAGAAAGAGCCACTGCTTCAGTTTCTGGAATTAGGAATTAAAATAATCTTCCAAGACATCTGGGGGAACCTTTAAGAGGGGTTTTAAGTGTGACATTGGTTCAGTTCTATAACTAAGTTTCAGCAGAAGATGCTGGACTTGGTTTGGTCTGAGCCGAAGCAGCAACTTCCAACTTTGGCTAAACTGGGGCCAAAGAATTGAACTGAACTGAATTAAACTGAATTGAATTGTTATGGTTCCCCACTCCAGAAGACTCTGGGTGGCTTACAATATCCCCCCCCCGCCCACAAAAAAACAAACGAAAAGAAAAAACAAAAACAGTAAAACACAAGTAAAATGGTTTAAACCCACATAAACAGGCAGCTTGGACTAAAACAGCTAGAACCATAAACAGTACCAAGAAAACAAACAAACATCCATCAAGGGCCCCACCCAGACCTAACCACAATTAATCCCAGGCTTGGGAAAAGAGTCAGGTCTTAAGGGCCTTCCAGAACCCAGGAGAGGGGGCACCGTCTGTATCTCAGGGGTAGGTTGGGGGTTGCTGTTCCAGAGGGAGGGGGCTGTGATAGAGAAAGATTATAATTGCTGGTGGTTTTCTTTTCCTGACTAGTTGATCTCAGAGTAGCAACGAATTCAACTTTGTTTCTGACGGGCCCGGTGCACAGCCCACCTCTCCGAAGGCAGATCAGCCAGATCACCAAGAACAGCAACGCGAGGATCAGGAGCATCCCAAAGATGCAGCCGATCACGATTCCCGCAATGGCCCCGTCAGTCAGAGAGGCATCTGAAAGGCAGAGGAAGAGAAAGAGTCCAGATTTACAATCATCAGAGTTTTAAGCTTCGTCATTTAATAGAGCTCCTGAATTTCACATTCACCATGCAAGATTGAAGCCTTTCTGAGACTCCAAAAAATCCACCGCGGCCTCCTACTTCCTCTTCTAATTTTAGACCCTACTGGAGTCTAGAGCCATCATCGCAAGAATCATTTCGCTCAAAAACTTTTCAAATCCAGTAATCTGTCTATGAAATGCTTCCTGGAAATCCTAGATCTTCAAAACACTATTATGAAAGGTAGAAGTACCCACGTCTGAGTCTGTGCCTTAAGTCAATGGGGACTGTTCCATTAGGAGCTTCTGCTGATCACATGGCTTGGGACCTTCTCTATTCCCAGATTGGATGCTAAAAGTGGTTAGATCCTGGGTTTTTAAATCATAATTAGTTTTGCAAGAGGCCAGAATCCCTGTAAGCCATTTTTTCATAAAGATTTTTGGCAGCCTAGAGAAATACAGAACTCCTTCAATCATTCTATACTTCCTTCAGCTCTTTCAACTTCTGTAATTACTGTAAAAGAGTTTAAAGTACACAGCAAGCATTGTCCTCATTCAGAATTGACTTTATTGGATGTTAGCCACATCATAATGAATCGAATCTGGCTCTTTAGTTCTGGATTTGTTCAATACATATCAGAGTTGGCTGCATTTACGAAAGTGACTATCGTATCGCAATTGGCTTTGCTCTCAGTGACATCATCATGTTGAGAAAAAGATCCTTTCTATTACATGTGCCCAGTTGCCTGGGATCATCCTTGTGAATAGTCTTAGAGAGAAACTAAATATAACCTGGGGTGAGGTTGGGGCGGTATGGAGTTAAAGCAGAAGCAATTTGAGAAAACAGTGGCAGTCAACAGTGAAAAAGATGAATAATCACATCATTTAGGGATTAGGAGAAAAATATTTCTTATCCTCTGAAAGCAATACTTTTGACACCAAGAAGAGCATTTCTTTAAACCCCTACCTTATACTACTCTTGGTGAATAAGTCTCATTTTTAACAACCATGGTACAGGTAGTCCTCATTTAATGACCACAATAAGGACTGGAAAGTTTGTTGTTAAGTGGGGCGTTGTTAACTGAGTCACACCCAATTTTATGACCTTTTTTGCAGAAGTCATTAAGCAAATCACTGTGGCTGTTAAGCAAATCTTGCAGTCATTAAGCAAATCATTTGGTTCCCCATTAATTTTTCTTGCCAGAAGCCAGCTGGGAAGGTCATAAGTGCGAGCTGGTTGCCAAGTGCCCAGATCACGATCACATGACCACAGGGGTGCTGTGATGGTTGTAAGCGCGAGGACTGGTTGTAAATCCTTTCTTCAGCACCATTGTAACTTCAAATGGTCACTAAATGAATGGTTGTTAAATGAGGACTATCTGTACAGCATTTTAAATGGTTGAGAAGTGCGTCTCTAAAAATGGTAGGTGGAAATGCTTAGCACTGCTGTTCAACTGTTTCAAATGCTTCTGTCTTCCTGTCTATTCTGTGCTATAAAAGCTGGCTCTTTTGTGCTTTTTTTAAAAATCCAGGCTTTAAAAAAAGCATCGTTTTCAGGTGAGCAAGCACGAATGGAAATAGTGTGTCACGGCTCTCTCACATCCACTTCTGTACCATCTGAGCAGTGGGTACACAGACGATCAGAGGTTTCTTGATTCCCCACAGCTTCGATTTCATCGAGCTACACTCTCCCTTATTTATTTTACAGTAGTCTTCTTCTCTGCAGGTTCAGACTCACTGCTAAATAAATATTTCATAACACTTTCTTTGGATGCTGGAATTAATGGCATGGCACGCCCATGGACAGAAATGGATGTAGGTCAAATCTGGAAAGAAACGTCATCTTTTTAAGCCATGAAGTTGCCCTTAAATATTAACAGCTTTTGAAGTATACTGCATTATAGCTGTGAGCAGATTCTTTCATTTTATGTAAACCCAAGTAGCTTGTTTGTCCCCGTGTGTGAAAATAGGACAGCACATTGTGTTGAGGTGTGGTAATATATTCCTGAAGCCATCTGCAAACCCTGTGGCTACTGTCTCCGTTCAACTCAAGAATACCTACCTGGGTGGAGGGTGTGGATTTGAGTGGCATTCCCAGCTTGGGATCCCAGATAAGGCACTATCTGGAAAGCGTAAGTAGTTTGGGGCTGCAATCCTATAATGCTTGCGGATCGGTTGGTAGCTCCTAGAACTTCCACTGTATTCCATTCCTCAGCAGAACGGTGTTTAGGACCTCGCATCTGAATCCAAAAACTGGTCACCGCTGATCCATTTGGGACCGTCCAAGCCAGGTAGGCCGTGCCAGAGTGGGGTCCACTTGACAAAGTCGAGTCAGAGATAGAGGGGCCTGCCAAGAGAGGTGGGCTTCCTGTTGTTTCCACAGAGGTGAAATGCAACAGGTTAGGCCTTCCCAGAGTTAATCCCTGTCACGTCATGATTTACAAAGGCATGGCTGTGATGAGGAGAGCCATCGCACAGTGCAATAGTTTGCAAGTTTATTTAGTTAAGATAACCGTCGACATGTTGGGATCAGAGAGATCCACGTTCAAGTCCTCACTAGGTAACTTGGCACCCATCTCTAGCCCTCAGCTCAGCTCACTTTGCAAGTGAATTGTGAGGAAATGAGAGGAAACCCCCTTGTGTTCCACCTGCAGACAGAAGACTGCAGAAGGCTGACTGATCTGCCCCCTAACAACCTTAGTTCTTAATTCATTCGCACAGCCATTGCACCCATGTGCCTCTTCTAATTTCCGATGCCTCATTTCCAGAATTAAACCTCATGGCTATGGCTGTTCTTTTCAACTACCCTTTCCTACCCCATAATTCTGATTTATAATAGAGAGCAGAGAGTTTAATGCTGAGGCCCTATTCAGAACCAGTAGGTTTGATGAGAAGGCTAGGACCTAAAGCTCAAACATCAACTGAACTGATGTTCTCTATAAGTGTTGGAATAACTTGTTTGGTGCTGTCCTCACATGGAGATAGCTCACCAATAATAGTGAGGTTAGATCGCTGGGATCCCAGTGGATTGGAGCAGATGGTGCTGTAATCTCCCAGATCCTGGGGGGCAGTGAAATTCCAGATGGTAAGATGCATTCTATCGGGACTTAGCTGATAACGGCCTCCTCCAACAGAAATCACGGACTGCTTATCTCCGAACCATTTAATCTCCAAGGGATTGAAGGTGCCTTGGCAATGCAACTGCAGAGTCACTAGCCCTTTGGAGTCACTGAATGCCTGGAATGACAGTGTGACCCCTGAGGGGGCTTCTGGAGAAGGGGGAGAGAAATGCGTTGATGAAAAAGAAGTCTCAAATTCCGAATGGTGACAATTGCGGTTTAAATATTGCATCAGCACGTAGCTCAAATCTGAATAGCTGGAATGGAATGTTTGATTAGTTTTATGGAATAGTTTCAGTGGAATTTATGTTTTACGATTGCCCTTCCCCCCTTTTGCCTTTATTATCTTCCAAGGCTTTCAAACCAACAAATGTTGGGATTTGTTCATCGGATCTTCATAAGCACAACTCTTTGGATTTGATCAGGATGAAGGACAAAGGATGGTACTTCATATGCATGGGGGGTTGAACCTCTCTAATTTCATCACACCAGGGGCTCACAAATAATCATTCACCCATCATTCATTAGCATCTTTTAAGTCCCTGCTAATAAATCATTCCAGTCCCATCATCCAGTCCCTCCCAGCAGCATTTTTAGATAGAACAGCCACATCAGAACAGCTGTTTCTCCAGCTTACCTGGAATCAAGGTGCAATTGTCTTGCCCAGTTAAATGATGACCTAAACAAGTGACTTTAGTGCCACTGATCCCAGCGGGAAATGGGGAGACCAGCAGACTCTGCAGATTAGAGGCACTGACTTCTTCCTTGCGTCCAGGGAGTCCCTGGAAAGTTAGATTAGGGGCAGGTGAACCTCCAGTCCAGGAACAGGCAAAAAGCAAGGCAGAGCCATTATGCACTGAAGTCAGGGAACAGCGAGGAGATCCAGAAGGACATTCTAGAGATGAGTAACAAAGAAGAAGAGGATGACCATCCATGCACTTTTCTGGATTAGGAATGCTTTAACGTTAGAAAAAGAGAGGCAAACCATGGATACAACATATTACAGCTTGACACACTTGTTGAACCATTCCTGTAATGTAACGTACAGGGCATGGAGTCACTGCAGGAAAAGGTGGTAGTGGTGACCAATGATTAAGAAGTCCACTTAGTTTTTCAAAAACACCACCAAGATGGACTCTCCCTGTATAATATTCCATCTATCTAACCTACTGCTATCTAACCTACTGTATCTATCTAACCTACTGTAATCTTTTAGGGGCTGCTATGTAACCTACTGTAATCTTTTGCTATAAACCAACCTTCTCTGAGTGGGACTGGGGAAGGCAGGCAAAGATTGTGGGTATTTCAAACAATTGTGCGGGGTAGGAGAAATCAGTGTGCACTTAATAATGGAAGAAAAACATTTGATTTGCAGAGGATCTTGGGGGGGACCTTCAGATTGTTTTTCAAGTCTGGATGCCTTCCAGGTGCTCTTCTCCTCATCCATAGTCCTAGAATCTCCTCTACCTACAACACCCCAAGGAAAAAGCAGAATTCCCCTCCATTTTTTTCAGCCAGAGAATGGGGTTCCAGAAGCAGGGAAACTTTTAAGCTACATTGCTAATGAAGCTCATGGGTGGGGGATGTGGGTCTCTCGGCAGTTCCTTACTTCAGCCAGAATTTGGGGAGGGAGGCACGCAATGAATCCCCATTTCTCCTTAAGAGAACTGAAGCCCTGAGCACAACATATTCTGTCTCATGAAATGTATACATGTGCACATACATGCATCTATCGGAACTGTGGCAAACAACGCCTTGACCTATGGCCTATTTTTCTCTTGACGTTCTCCATCTCTCTTTCCATGGACAATCACATGCCTTACTTCTAAAAACCAATTCCAATGATCGATTAGAGGGACAGGCTATATAAGGAATCTGCAAACCAAATCAACAGTGTTGGGTTCCATGGGGTGTGTGTGTCTGTGTCTCCATGTCCCAAGACAAAAGCAAAAGCAAGAAGCAGAAGCTTAGTTAACCACCAAGGACCACGGAGAGCACTTTTGCTGGAATTCTTCACATAACACCACAGCGCAGATTGAGATGAACAGGTGAGGTGGTTTCTAGAAACTCACAGCCATTCCTTTCTTGTTACTCAATTGCCACTTAACTTTTCTCTTCCTGCAACTCACTGTTACTCACTGTCAGCATTTCTATTAGTCCATCCTGCCTAACATCTTCCAGAAAAGGGCAGGTACATTGTTCTGAACAGTCTACCGCATTTATGTTCCCAAAGCACATCCACAATCACCCCAACTCAGAAGACATTTCAAGGCTATAATTTATATTAGTATCATTCTGACTTCTACTCCACCTTTCTGTTCCAATGGCAGCAGGTTACTGCAACTCAGCTGGACCAGAAGTGGGAGAAATATCCGTGCAAACATTCATATAGAACAGTGATGAACCCAGTTTCCAATGCTTGGCTTAATTTCCGTAGCTCTTTGGTAACAGTCAGCTCAGCATTTGGACAGAAGTGATCTGTCTCTTGTCTGGCTGACTGCAGAAGGAAAGGGAGAAAGAAAAGAAGATGGCAGACAGAGAAAAGTATAGAATTTTATTCATTGTTTCTTTGACTCCTGGTGAGTTTTCTCCCTACTCACAACTAGCAAGAACCCTTCTATAGATTACCCTGAGAGTGTATGGCCTACAACATGAAACAGGTTCCCTGCTCCTATTATAGATCTGCATTTTGGATTTCAACTTCTCAAGGCACTCGGTGACAGTGACCACCAGGAGGTGAACAATAGAAAAATTCCACCCTCCTTCCAAGGGTGGGTGTGTGGGGAAGTCATGTAAAACCTTGTACTTGGGGGCATGACATAATGTAACATCTATATCCTCTGCTCTGAGATCTTAAAGGAAGGTGGACTGTATATGCAATCCTGAGAGCACTTCAAGGCACTCTGGGAACTGTAGTACCTCGAAAAGATCTAAAGTTTCCCAGCTGGCCCTCTGGCCAATTACAACTCTCCTGTTTTTTAAAGGAAGTACTGCCATTGAAATAATATAACTACTTCTTCCTTCTTCCCTTTGAGCAATTCTATTCACTTTGATGAAAGCACCATTGCTACAAAAATTCTGTTGAAGAACAGAACATTGTAGAGGGCGGCATTCCTGCACTTATGAGGAAACAAGGTGGCTGAGGGGGTTGTGTGACAGAGAAAAAGAGAGAGCTAAAAGTATGTATGTATGTTCTTGCATTATGCACCCATCTGTTTAGTGGTCTGCATCTTCCCTGGCTTCCATTTATCCCAAAGGAAGAGATCAGAGAGAGAATGTCTTCTACAGCCCTTCTAAAGTAGCAGTGTTCAAGGAGACCCACCCTTTAAAAACTCTTGGCAAAAAAGTTGCCTGTGAAGATCAATCATCCATCCAGTTTCTCTACGAAATTGGTAGCGAATTCCCAAAGGCCTTTGAGGTCCAGCTCTGCTATAAACCTTTCTAGAAATATGTTTCAGGCTCCTCTATGCCTACATCTTCCCTTTAAGATCAGCACCCCCACCCCCCCACCCCCAGAACAGGGAAGGAAGATAAAGGCAAAGTCAACTAACGGGCAACGGTGATACGGCGAGTGTTGCGAAACTGCAGCCGCGTCTGCTGATTGATAGCCAGGCAGGAATACAGCCCTCCCTGATTCAGCTGCACTCTGCGGAGCTGCAGAACAGGTGAGGAAGGGACGTAGCGATCCTTATCGTCAG